ACGGGTTCGGACTATCGACCTCCAATTCCTCGCCCCCTTGCGCCCCCGACTTTGCGGCTGCCCGCGTAGGCAGGTTTCAATTGGTGAGGCCGACGGCTTTACGTTTACGATGCGCTACGCGGGTTCAGTGGTGGCGTGCTGCGGTGAGCGCGCTCGCAAAGCAAAACTCCGTCCCGCACGTGAACAAATGGGTACGGTATGCCGACACGTGACTCCCCCACACCCACGCTCTATGCGCCCAGGCAATAACAAACCGGACGCCGTTACCTGCCCAGCCCCGTACACCAATCACACGCGAGGGAGTTAGGGTCGGGGGTGAGAGGGCAGGGGCGTCTGCCACTGATTGGAAAGAGTCACTGCGTTCCGGTTTAAAGGGCCGTTTAAACAGCCGCGCGTATACGCGCACACCAGGCGCTTAGCTCTCTACTTCGCTATAAACAACCGCACATGCACGCGACCGCAAGACACTCCCATAAACAGTCGCACTGGTACGCGAACGCTAAGCACGCCCGTAAACAGCCGCACGGGCACACGAGCGCTAAGCGCTCCTGTAAACAGCCGCGTAGGCACGCGCACGCTAGGCGCTCCGCCTCGTTGTAGACAACCGTGCGTGCACGCGAACGCAAGACGCTCCACCATTCTCTTCACACCCACAAAGAGACCACACGACACGGTTTACCCCCCACTGGCTATTTTATTCTCCGCGAATATCCTGTTAAGCTACGTGGGCTTTCGTGGGTCAGTAGACGTTAGCCTATCCTTCGAGGATCCTAGATTCAATTTATCCTGCCTATCGCTCAGCTCTCTACCCTCGATTAAATAGCTCAAACTCACCTCTCTCTTACTTACGCTTACTTCCACTCTGCTGCGCTGGAAGCTGTAGAAGGGTGAGGCTGTGGATCGTCTCCATGGGAGATCGTGCCTGGCTGCGCTGAAACTCGTCACGCGGACGATCCGAACGGCCGGCTCCAATGCTCCGTGGACTTCGATGACTGGAAGAACTCTGTCTTTACTGTCTCAATCACCTGCCTTTGATCCTACCTATCACAAAGGCATTCCGCGGTGCCTGCACTTGCTCACCCGTGCTCTTTGATATTCGGGTCTATAATCCCACCTATAACAAAAGGCATTCAGTTGCTCTTGCGCCCGTGCCCCCCTGTCCAATCAGGGGCTGAGATATTCCGATCCGTACCTCCCTTGGCCTCCTGCCCAATCAGATGCCCGGATTTTCCCGCCTTTTCGGTACTTTGATCATACTCTGGTGACGTCACTGTGGTGGTTTCTCAGACGTCCGCTCTCCGTTCTTCCCGCTATCGGCCCACTGACTCGTGTATGTGTGTGTGGTTTCACTCGCGGTGGCTGAACGGCCTCTGCCCTGACCATGTAACTTTAATATCAGGTCACGGCGCCGTGGTGCATGTCAGCCTCAGGGGGTACATCGCCCAATTTCCCGGCCGCAGGAAACCATGAAGCTTGATCCCATTAGGGGCTTCTGGATAAAAACCTGTCGGCCAGGTGACCTTCCCTCCCGGCTCTACGTGGGGTGTGCGTGCATTCATGTGGGGGGAGGGGGGGGGGCGGCGAGGGGCGCGCCGCGTCGGCGCCGTCACTCCCCGGTGGCGGTGTCACGGCGGTGGGCACGGCCCCGACGGAGCGGCTCCGCTGCGGCGGCACCACAACTGTGTAGAGGGTAAACAGCGGACGTCTGAGAGAGCACCGGCCTCGGGAGAGTGGCGGAAATCCGAGGCGCCAGTGGCGGCGTCACGGCGGTGGGTACGGCCCCGACGGAGCGGCTCCGCTGCGGCGGCACCACAGTTGCCTCAAGTGAACAGTCTCCGACGTCAATAAGGCCACTACACTAGTACACCACTAACCAGTTGTGTGTTGGAGAGTAAACCCACAACAACATTTACAATTATAGTGTAGTGTTTAGTGTAGTATACTACTTCAGCACTAACCGGTTGTGTTGGAGAGTAAACCCACTACAACATTTACAATTATAGTGTAGTATATGAGTACAGCACTAACCGGTTGTGTGTTGGAGAGTAAACCCACTACAACATTTACAATTATAGTTTATTGTATAGTGTAGTGTATAGTGCAGTATACTAGTACAGCACTAACCAGTTGTGTGATGGAGAGTAGACCCACAACAACATTTACAAATATAGTGTAGTGTTTAGTGTAGTATACTACTTCACCATTAACCGGTTCTGTGTTGGAGTATAAAACCACTACAACGTTTACAATTCGAGTAACCGTGACGTTTCGCCGAAACTTGCACATCCAGAACTCGCACATAGAGAGGGTTTATTGCATTGTACTTTGATAAAAAAAACTGCTAAATGTGAATGTTATTCTCGATTAGACCAACATTTAACGGAAATTGAGATTTTTAGTTTAGATTGCACAATCTTTAATTATTATATATCATGGGGAAAATTTTAGATTCTAATTGCAATGTTAAAAAATGAAAGTTACATGACTATCTACAGTCCTGCAGTTTCTATCCTGTTTCCATTTATACCTCTCAATATTCTTCAATTGCAGATCCTTTCGAATGCGAGTCTCGGTTGAAAATGCAAACCTCGACACTGGGAAATGCTTGTAAACTCGTCTTGAGAGCTAACATTTTACTTTTTGACTTTTCATTACATTACATATTTAATTCTCTCTCAAAATGTAGGTTTTACTCAGCCATTACAAAATATCTCACATGGCATGCGAAGTGACATTTCACGACTTAAAGTCCTGCGCAAACTGACATTTTCGTCAATAATTGCTTTCCCTGAAAAGGTCGAAATCACGTAAAAATACCAGAGCAGGGCAGTAGATGGCACAATGTAGCTATGGTCCTTGAAAGGCTGGCATCAACTGTGGCCCTTGATCCGTGGCATAAGAAAAGTTTTAACTGCTCACGACAACGTTTGGCTTCTCAAACCACTGCAAGTTAAAACATCATTCAGATACGGAACACGCTTTAACAAAGGGCAAGCCATGAAAAAGATGCAAATGGCGCTACGCCCCTGAAAGCTGTTGGCGAAGCCTGAATACGTTTAAAACGAGCAGAAACTCTCGGCAAGTTATATATACATGAATATACATGAATATATAACTGCTCAACCCGAGATATTAATGCCTTGATATTTGCATTGCCTTTTGTGCTGTTCGCCTTGTGGCGTTGTCAAACCTGTCAACCCCTTATCAGTGCCTACCTCATTACAGACCAATTCAGACTTTATTGGTCACTCCGTTCCATTATAAATCTCAACGTTCATCCTACAAAGTCCCATCACAAGGGAGAAACACAAACAAATAGACACAAATTATCTTTTTTTTTTACCAATATGGAAACGGCTCAATTTCCGCGTACGAAAATACAGGCTAAACCATATGGGTCGACAGGTATGCGTTGTTCTCTGGTCTGACTACGGTGGTGAGACAAGGCCATAAAGGAGGCTGCAGCTCCAGTGTAGGCCAATCAGTTTCAAGGACAATGCGTCACAGCATCGGAGGGTGTTTGTTTGCATGTTTTATACCACAAGCATGTGTGGTTAATGCAGTCCTGGTGCCTTGCAATAGGTGTGTCTATTTGGTAGGTGAATATCTGAACGCCTCCTGTGTTATTGCCGGAAAGGGGTAAAGCCTCTCATCTTGATACCGGCAAAAAAGGATCTTGTAGTGAGTGGCGGAAGGGTTTACTGTTACACAGTCAAGCCTCAGTCTTGTGTGTGCATTTTTTTAAATTTCGCCTCCAGTGCTCATGGAGGAGGAAAAAAACAACACACAAAGCTGGCATGGCCATGGCAGAGCTAAAGGGTGCCACGGTGGCAAGATGTTAACTACCTTGCCTGGTATACAGGAGGTCAATCCCGACCCTGACGCCTGCTGTATATTTGGAGTTGCATGTCTCTCTCCCCGTGGTCACGTGGATTTTTCTCCGGGTCCTTCGGTTTTTCCACTTCGCTGGGCTATCATTTGTGATGGCCAGGTCGACTTCTGAAAAAGAGATGTATAGCTTTAGCGGGGCCTTACCTGGTAAAATAAAAAATAGTACAAATTTTGTAAAAAATAAGTGCGGGTTAGGTAAGGGTCGCGATGCTGTGATTGATTATCTGTGTTTCAGCCACAGGCACACAAATAATCTTCGGTGTCTCAGCCACGTGCCTTGCAAGCAGGAGGTGGGGGGGGTTCGGACAAACCGCAGAATCCATGGCCAAACGTCCATTTGCGGTGATGGGAGCAAAAAAAGGCCATTTCGGAAAGCCACGTATGCTTCCGTAATGGCCTTATTTATGTGGAAATAGCAGGCAGATTTTTTTGCACACAGACATTTCCTTTTCTGTTTGTTTGGTAGTTCCAGTGGAGGGTTCCACACCACCATTGATTACACGGAGGAGCTTTTTATATTTCTGGCTTGGCCCTGTCCATGCTCCAATCCATTTTTGGAAAAAAAGTATTTTTTTTACTGTGAGCACTATTATGACAAATAACGGGGAAACTTTAGATCAATTTCTGCCGTGGTGTTCTTCCAATTTGGCTTGTTTCCCACAGAACATTGGCAGAAATATAGTTTTCACCAACATGAATCAGGGGTGTTTATGTTTGCATAACTAGCCCACGTTATGCAAGTGCAACGCAGACCTCAGAAGTGCCAATCATGGATTGGCAAGCACGACAGGAGTTTATTTTCCAAGCGTCCGTGTGCGTTTTACACGTTTAAAATCACTCTTTATCGATACTGCTTAAAATGGAGCAATGTACGCTTGACCTCGCATAGAGAGAGTTTGCGCACCTTCGTCTTTGTCGCATGTAACCCCCTTTCAGATGTAGAAAAAAAACCTGTGACTGCTCGTTAACTGCGCGGGCTTGCGCTATTTACGGGAGCGCTGGTGTTTTGTTTCTCCTCCCCGGGTTGCGTGCGCTTGCCCCACACTCCGTCACCTCGGTGACGACGACAATGACACGGCCGTCTCTTCTCCTGTGCTGCGGTGCGACAGGAATCACAGACAGCGACGACATCCAGCTCCTGCTCGCCGAGATGGAAACGGCCGTCGCTTACTCCCGAAAGGTGCCATTTTTGCTTTCACGATGACGTGCAAACAAGAAAAATTGTGAATGGAGCTGCGGTGTGTCTCTGTAAAGTCACGTAGGTAAAATAAAATAAAACAATTAAATCACGACGTTTCGGAGGCAACACAAGCTTCCGTCTTCAGGTGGAACAGTCACAGCAAGATCGCTGCATCAAGTGGGGAGGCTCTGAGAGCCTCGAGTTTAAATACAGGTGAAGGGGGGGGAGGAGCCAAGTAGGAGACATTGATGGGGTGCGGGGCTAAGTTAATCCGTCTTTTGTTATGTTGAGGGTGCGGGGGATGCGGTGGGTCACTGCACGGGGGCAATGGAAAAAATGGAAACAAAAATGGAAAAGTTCGGAAAGAATATGCTGTGTGCTTATAAGTTGGCTAATGTTTTGACTTGGTTTATGACATCTTTCCAGTGGTTGCTTAATTTAAAACCATCCTCTTGGTTGAATTTGTGTCTATGTTTGTATATATGGATGGCTTCATGGACAAATCTTTGGTAATAACCAGGAGGTTTGCATAGTACTTTGGTATCGGAGAAAACAATCTCATGTGAAAGGAACTAACCTGTCGGGACAACAGAGCTTCCATGAACGTTGTTAAGATTCGTAGCGACTTTTAAGCTAGTTTAGAGAAGTGAGGCACCTTGACAAAGGGGTTTACATATCACACAGGAGAATTTCGCATTGAAATAGCTGAGGGATTAGCTTGTGAGTGGTCACAGAAATGGCTATGTTAAAGTCAAAGCCTACACATCCACAGAGGCACCTAGTACAAATCAAACAAGATAATTTAGCATTGAAATAGCTGAGTGATTAGCTTGTGACTGGTCACAAAAATGGCTATGTTAAAGTCAAAGCCTACACATCCACAGAGGCACCTAGTACAAATCAAACAGGAGAATTTAGCATTGAAATAGCTGAGTGATTAGCTTGTGACTGGTCACAGAAATGGCTATGTCAAAGTCAACGCCTACACATCCACAGAGGCACCTAGTACAAATCAAACAGGAGAATTTAGCATTGAAAAAGCTGAGTGATTAGCTTCTGATTGGTCACAGAAATGGCTATGTTAAAGTCAAAGCCTACACATCCACAGAGGCACCTAGCACAAATCAAACAGGAGTATTTAGCATTGAAATAACTGAGGGATTAGCTTGTGACTGGTCATAGAAATAGCTATGTTAAAGTCAAAGCCTACACATCCACAGAGGCACCTAGTACATGGACACCAAAGGGGCTGCAACAACTCAACTATCATACAGTAAACCGATGTGAAAAAACCTAAATCTAAATTACATCAATATAATAAATGTACTCAATATATTCTTCAATAAGCTGAGCTATTAATAGTAACTGGGTATACATTACACTATATAATGAATACCATATAGTAAACCAATAAAAACTAAAATATAAACTACCTCAATGTTATCAATAAACTCTATATATTCTCCAATCAGCTGAGCTACCAACAATAAGTCGTTATATATCACAATGCTATGCAGCGAAAAAATGGGTGGATTCTTACCCTCAACTTCAGCACTACAGACAGCTACGAGCCCCGTTCAGACGGACGTCTGAGTTGTATCTGCGGTGACTGCTATATCGGGGAGACGAAACAACATATTTCTTACCGAATTCGCGAGCACAAATCAGATTTGAAACACGGCAGAACGAATTCGTCGGCCGCAGCTGATCATTGTCTCAACACAGCGGGTTCTCATGAGATTGTTTTCTCCGATACCAAAGTACTATGCAAACCTCCTGGTTATTACCAAAGATTTGTCCATGAAGCCATCCAGATATACAAACACAGACACAACTTCAACCGAGAGGATGGTTTTAAATTAAGCAACCACTGGAAAGATGTCATAAACCAAGTCAAAACTTTAGCTACCTTATAAGCACACAGCATATTCTTTCCAAACTTTCCATTTTTGTTTCCATTTTTTCCATTGCCCCCGTGCAGTGACCCACCGCATCCCCCGTACCCTCAACATAACAAAAGATGGATTAACTTAGCCCCGCACCCCATCAATGTCCCCTACTTGGCTCCTCTCCCCCCCTTCACCTGTATTTAAGCTCGAGGCTCTCAGAGCCTCCCCACTTGATGCAGCGATCTTGCTGTGACTGTTCCACCTGAAGATGGAAGCTTGTGTTGCCTCCGAAACGTCGTGATTTAATTGTTTTTATTTTATTTTACCTATGTGACTTTACCGAAAAAAACACAAAGAGTAGGTCTGACTCTGCTCACGAGATGCCGAATGTTGAAGCCGGTGCCTTGGCCGGCTTTTGCCAGCAATGTTGCTGAAGTGATGTGCTCCGGGAGAAGGCGACTGTGTGGCTGACAGGATGCGTTAAAAAAATGTATTCGGAAGGACAGCTCCGTGAAGGAGCCATATTGTCTGCTTGTTTGTTTAGTGTGTTGTGATACTAAAGCTAGTGACTCCACTGCCACCCACAACATCAGTGACATTGTGGGTGTGTGCGAGATAGCGAGCGGTGGCACAATGGTTAGCGCACTCCGCTACGAACCCGGCGACCCAAGTTAAATTCCTACTCACGGCCAACACCAGTGACGATTATCTGAACTGGTTCTGGGCATCCCCTATGTCGATTCAGCCTCAAAATGAGTACCTGGCGCGGTGTGTAAACATCGCTACTTGGGAGACGAAGGGGTCAGGCGTGGTGTTGGCTATCCACCCCCTCGCATGCCGTACCGGCCTTCAGAGGTGCTCGCTAACAGCACTTGCCCCTACAGTCTGTTAAGGCTATACGGGGGATCTTTGTCTCTGTGTAATTGGTTCTCAGCAGAATAAAGCACAAAGTGAAACAGCTTTCAAATATCAAAACTTTTTTTCAAACCAAAATTGTTTTTTGTTATCATCATCATGAACAAAAAAACATTTAACATGCTGAGCACAGCAAAGGGGGCAATGGGTGGAAATCCAATTTCCTGCAGCTGATAACTAAAGCACGAAACAAGCCGTGGTTATAAAGGATCTCAATGTGACTGAATCTCCAGACGCTCTCTAAAGATAGGGACCCAGGAGCAATGCAGGCGCTAGAGTTGAGGCAGTGGTGATGATGGGAGAGGCGTTTTTTCAAACTATGTACGTTGAACTTCTTTCACACCGTACGTAGCCAACCGCGCTAATCGGAGGTGTGGGGGAAGGACAACAAACTAGATGATTTGAAAGTGCATGGCTCCAGTGGCTTCTATAATATCAGAAGGAAGAGCGTCCCAGACGGCCGCAGAAGCGCATCCGAAAGCACGAAATGTTCGATTAAAATGTATATACGTGCAAAATGTTCATTATTTAAGTTGTTGTATGTAGTGTATAATGTACTGTATATAATATGACTGAAATCAAGCATAGCTACTTTTTGTTTAACGCACACGGTGCTGATCGCCACACTGAGTTTATGCCTTTGGAGCGGTTTATTTCTCACTTGGCCCGGGACCGCTGGATAATGTTGGAAGCCGGATACTCGATGATCAACTAACTGTATTGTTGACATTTTACAGCAAATCCCTCTTTGGGGTGGCCTTTCACATAGGTGCTGAACTAGTATACTACACTATACACTACACTATACACTATACTATACACCACACTATACACCTTTTACACATGATGGCTACACTATACACTTCACTATACATACACTACACTATACACTACACTATAATAGTAAATGTTGTAGTGGGGTTTACTCTCGAACACACAACCAGTTAGTGCTGAACTAGTATACTACACTATGCACTACACTATACACTACACTATACACTGCACTACTATACACTATACACTACACTATACATAACACTATACACTACACTATACACTACATTATACACTACACTATACACTACACTATACACTAAACTATAATATACACTACATTATAATAGTAAATGTTGTAGTGGGGTTTACTCTCGAACACACAACCGGTTAGTGCTGAACTAGTATACTACACTATACACTACACTATACACTACACTATACACTATACTATACACCACACTATACACTACACACTACACTACACACTACACTATACAATACACTATACACTACACTATACACTACACTATAATTGTAAATGTTGTCGTGGGTGTACTCTCCAACACACACCCGGTGTGTGCTGTACCGGTAACGAATTGGCGCCACGTTTTGTTTACATGGCAAACCCCTTACTAATTGCCTGTGTCGGGTTTGTGGCAGGTTTAGCAACGCATTTTTATTATGCGATCTCATCCAAAAAACCTTGATTATGGATAATATTGGCGCACGTTGTGACTGTGATGATGGCATTTCGCGGTGAAATGCGTGACAGTGTAATTTGTGAAAGATTGAGGAAAATTTCAATTTGGAAAGAGAGCACATTAATTCAAGTGCAGCGGTTAGCGTTACGCTGCGCCAGGGGTCACCAAACTTTTTTCACAGTGGGCCGGATAACTGAAAGAATGACGAGCGCGGGCCGCATAATAAATATTTCTGGAGCGTCGGACCTGTGTTGACAGCTGGAAAATCTGGGGGCGGGAAAGATGCTTGTTTGTGTGCGTTGCCATGGAAACCATGGTAACGTCAGAGCGTAGGCGGAGCTACCACGAGCCGGGAAAGTACTTGGGATGGCGCGAAATAAGCAAACATTACAATAAACAAGAAAATCTAGATACAATAATTTAAAATAGTAAATTTAAGGAACATAGCAGTCAGGAGGTCTCCGCACGCATGAAGATCTCCTACTATTCTAAACATATTTAAATTGTATCACAACGTCTCGTGTTCCATACGTTTTATCAACCAAATTCAAGTACCGTCGGCGGGCCTGATGGACTGACGTCGCGGGCCGGACACGGCCCGCGGGCTGTAGTTTGGTGACCCCTGCGCTGCGCTACGAACCTCGCTCCATGTTATTTTTGTTGTTGTTGTTCGCACAATCGCTGATCACAGCCCCATCGAATGGCCCGACAATAATCA